AGAAAATTACGTCGGAAATGACCCACAGCTTCCCAACAACAAAACCTTGTTGACCTGTGTAATATATATATATATATATAGTTAAATATTTTTATTACTCATGTCAAAATGATCCTCCTAATAAAAATAATTTGAGTGTGTTGCGGTTCATCAGGTCGTCGAGTTTGACGGAACTATAACCTATGCTGGCTTTTATTGTGTGGGACTGTCGCAAATGCTTTATACGATGCACTTTTTGTCATGTTTTTGCATACAGGCACAAACCATTACCGATAACCTTTCGGTTTACTCATTTGTTTTATTAATTACATTGTTAAAAATAAAGTGAATATAAGGAAAGAATATGATGAGCAACAACCTCGTCACGCGCGAGTTCGGGTAAACTCGGGTGATTCCGGAACGTTTGAATCACAAGTTAGTGGATTGCATTTTTGAATCAATATTATTTAATAAATATTAAGCATTTTGTGAAAAGAAAAGAAACTTGTTAACAAATATATGTATTTTCTACACAATAGAAATGTTTTTTTAATGCAACTTGAAGACCGAATTACCCGCTGCGCACAATTACCCTACTATCCCCTATATTATACATATATACATATATATATATATGTGTGTGTATGCGTATGTGTACATATGTATATATTAATTTCCATCTTAAAACGTTAAAAATTAAATTAAGTAATATTCATAAAACATCGTATGTAAAATTTGAAAGAGAAAAAACTAACAAGACGTAGCCCGCGATGTAATGTCGATTCTAAATATCATCCACGGCACATTTGATACAAATTGGACGCGTTAATTGCAAAAGTGAGTGCGCGATACGGACTACATCTTTAAACATTGTCCGATACACACGCTTACAACGATCGGTAAATATAAGTATTATTTACAATCTATTTAATGGGTAATTTGTTTATCTTGTATATAACCCGAGACGTGTACGATTCGGTTGTTCGTATATATCTATTCCCGCAAGTTCTTTTCAACTTGACGCGGGCAAAAGTACGCGAGGATCGAAGTCCAATTGCCGTCATTGCAATGGGAAATGATGAAAATGTAACATAGTAAAGGAATAAAATACACAAAAAGAAGAGAGGAAAATTAAGGCTATGGTGAACAAAAAACTTAAGCGGTTAGACGTAAGCAGCAAGCAAATCAATATTTTGGATTTACTACTGCTTATTGCCTTACGAGTAAGATGTCTATTCAGATTGGCCGATTTACTTACTGCTTATGTCATATTGCCTTACGTTTTTCTGTACCATGACTCTTAAAAAGGAGGAGAATGCGTTACACGGTTCGTCTCATTCCATGAGAGGGGAAATATGGAACAAACAACGAGAAAGAAACGACACCGCTGTGCATCGCGCCACAACGGCTCCTATCTATCTCTAGACTAGAAAGAAACGCGTCGCTATGACCGGCGGCGCGTCGAAAATTTACGAGGGAGAATGGTTTCCTTTGGGAAAACGCATAGAGGAGAAATTACACCTTTACATTTGCACTTTGCCTTATACGTCTACATCTACGTACGATGCGTTCGAAGAATAAAAATATCGTTAAGCCTCGTCGACGTCGATGAAGGCAACGAGGACCGTTCTCTCAAGGATTGCCCTTGAAATACCTTTTTTTTCCACGCGATTCCGCGTTTTAGTTGATCCTAAGTGTCGACCGCTCATCTTGCCAACTTGGGATCGCACGTCTAGGAGGTAAGGAACTGGGACAGGCAAGAGGGTTCCGCTGAGGTGATCAAACCATGAAAACCTCAACGAAGGGATTGCACTCGGTCTGCGGTGGAGGCAGCGCCGCCATGCGTTTATCCAACTCCACTCGTGGTAGGTACGCCTCGATACGCGCGTCTGGTCCCGTGGCCGTGGTTGTCGGCAGCGTCGTTGCCCCGGGTGCTAATTGCAGACATTCTGCTGGCGCTAACTGCATTCATACAATATGTGATATAATATATGCAATAACTGCATTCACACAATTTATCTAGTATAGTCGCTAAGAGCGAGAAACGTACATATGTAGGGGAGACCGGGGCACCACACAAAACGGTATCGGAAACGCACTTAATGTTACAACAAGTTATGGAAATGATGCAGTAACGCGAAAATGTGTGTACAGTTAGTGTTTGCCCAATTTAAAATAGAACTTGATATTAGCTCTTTGTTCCATTTTCATTAACGAACGTGTGCTCCTTCGTTACTAGTCTACGCTTGAACATAGCCGCGCGTCCGTTAAGGGCAAGCGTGTAACATGCTGAAATGTGTTTCTAGATTCGCTAATCTATAACAAATATGATGCCGCAACTTGCTGCATGCGTTTACAAACTGAATATAAGAATATTCACCGAATTTTATTGCCACACCGTGTATATTCACTGAATGTATGAATGTCAATTATACACACTATTACATTTAACGCAAATTGTTTCATAATTTAAACAATTTTTTACATTTATTTTTATCTAAAGGATATATATAGAATATTATCAATCTTTACTTAATTGTAAACATCAAAGAGAATAATAAAAATTGAAATAATTTTAGAATGTCACAAACGCTCTATGCGAATAAAGTAGGATTAACAATAAGTTAATACGAGCTGGACGTGTAGTGTCTTATCCTGAAAAGCACAATATTGACTGTCCGAATCTCCATTTTGAAAGTTTTTAATAATCAATTTTAATTTAATTTAAATTTTAATTAAAATTATATAGAAACAATGGCTCAATTAAAATTCAAACAATAGAACTAAAGGATTCTGAGTCTAGAAATTCTTATGTCAGTTAAGTAATAAATACTTACAAAAGAGTTATACTAAATGATAGAAGTGTTACAACGATATAAAATATGACAAATTCGATCCTTATTGGGTCATCTTTGGCATCATACAACGTATACATATAATAAAAAAAATTTTTTATTTTAGTTTCCGAACGCTGGATATACAATTCACACATTTCCATTGGAATTATTTATAAAAATAAATAGAGCCAGATAAATGATAGGGCCGCAAGAGAGAGCAAGAAATGATTTCAAAAAGACACGAGGCTTTACTCACCAGAGCAGCTTGTTGAGGAATGGGCGCTATACCGCCGACATTTGCGGGGGTGTAATAATTAGTCGGACTAACTGGCGGTGAAGGGTAAGGCCAGTAAAAGATGGGTGGTGGATACGGCGTTGCGAATTGCGGCGGGCCACGGGGCAACATCGCGGCCGCAGGCGGAAATATCGCCACGGGTGGTGGTGGCAACATCGTGCCCCCTAAGAAAGAAAGAAAAAGGACGACAATCAACGTTCGATCGAGATGATTCGGACGGCTTAATTAGATCAACGCAGACGAAAAAAAGAAGCAGTCGTGCTTGTAGAATCCACTGCGATTCGCGGATTCCCTTTTTTGACCTCTATAATCACCCGATTTGTGAGGTTAGCTATCTGTCACGATTTGTAATATCGCGATCTCGAGCTTAACATATCGTTGATAGAAAAAAAAAGGGACTCGCAGTACCCACGATCGTCTGTTATGTATGTACAAACGTAAAGAAGAGTGCCCACTATGTAACCACTTCACAATTACGACGAGTGACATCGTGCAGATCCGCAGAGATGTTTCTAGAAGCACACAAAGCGTTTCTCATTTAGTAATGCGCCAGTATACAGTCGACCATATTCAACAGCATGTTTCGCACTATGAAAGTGAATTAGTGAGATACCTGTTTTTTTTCTTTTTTTAATGAAACAACCACTAATAAGATCTAACTTCGTACGCTGCACGATTTCACTTTCAATTAGACCGATCTTGGTACGATTTGAGCAAAACGTTCCGTTAGACATGTATTTTATGCATATATTAAGTATTTCTAAGTTGAACGGCGTGCCGCTGCGGTCCAGTCCTAGACACATACCTGATACAAATGAACAGTCAAAAATAATCCTTTTCACTGTTTTAAAAGTATTATAAAACCACTCTAAAATCTTTGCGAAAAATAATCTCACGCATGCCCAAAACGTACAAAGAACGCAGTTATCCAAAGGAATAATGATTTGGACTTGGCCTACCTGGAAGCACAGAAGTTAGTATTTGTAGGTCCCGCTACCATAACAGCAATCGACACTGCACCATTGTAACACGATGTATAATGTATATCTTTTTTATATATATAATATGTAATGCAGCACCAACTTGCGATTTCGCCCCTCTGCCAAATCACCAGATACACGCAGATTCTCACTCTCTTTTTCTCTCCCCTTCTACCTTTCCTTTCTCTCTTTCACTCTTTCTTCTCTCTCTCTCTCTCTCTCTCTCTCTCTCTCTCTCTCTCTCTCGTGCTCTTCTCTCTTTTGCCTAGCGAAAAAGCCTTTTTGCGTGCGCCTTTTTGTAACAAAAGTACAGCCCACGTACGTATCACTTATCTGCCTTAAGGGAATCCTAAAGTCGTCCTGTTTTACTATGATTACGTTTTAGGAGAAATCTCCGAATTGGCTTCACGGATTGCAAAATTTTTTTTACAAAATTAAAGAACGCACAAATAGAAATCCTGAAAAACACGATTTCACGAAAAAATCGGAAAAAAATTTTAAAATTCACTTTTTCTGGCAACACGTACAACTGTCACCTGAGGTTAACATTTGTTTGATATAAAAGTTTTACAGCTTGTAGATTGAAAATAAGCGTGAAGCGGGATTCGGATTACTTGAACGAACAATACTGAGTTTGTGGAATTAAGATTCAAAGCGTAGAAAAAAATATTTCTCCTAAAACGAAATTACGTGCTAAGCAAAGATTTACTTTTTTCCTCTTTTACAGATTCCAAAATCCTTTTCCAGAATTAAAGTATACACATTAATACATGTCTGTGAGATGGAATTTATTCCGAGAACGACAAAAAATTTCGAAATTGAAATCTTAAGACTCCTGAATAGTTACCACAGTCATATTGAATCGTGACATCAGAAGCGAGAAATGACACGTTAATTTATGTTGCATGCCATTTGTAACTAAAGACAATTTGAATAAATCTAAATGATGAAATTGCTTTAAAACATTTATAAAAATCGACGAAAACTATGCTTATCCCCCCTGACAGTCAGTAAATAATCGTAAAAAGTGATAAAGAGCACATGGTGCTTTTATTCAATGCGCATAAGTAACTTATTTTCACTTACACGTACCTTTTATCACTTTTTACGATTATTTACTGACTGTCAGAGGGGATAAGCATAGTTTCCGTCGATTTTTACAAATGTTTTAAAGCAATCTCATCATTTAGATTTATCCAAATTGTCTTTAGTTACAAATGGCATGCAACATAAATTAACGTGTCATTCCTCGCTTCTGACGTCACAATTCAATATGATTGTGGTGACTACTCACAGGAGCCTTAAGAAAAATTTTTTTGTCGTTCTCGGCATAAACTCCGCCTCACAGACACGTATTAATGCGTATGCTTTAATCCTGGAAAAGGATTTTCGAATCTGTAAAAGAGGAAAAAATTGTTATACAAAAATTATGATTAGTCGATAATACAGACGGCTTTAGAAGATCCCCTTAAAAGATATTTAAAAGAGTCTGAAAAATAAATAAATCACATATAGCAATTATTTTGAAGTTATTCCATATTTCATGATTTGAGTAAATATGGTTTGAGCAAAGATGCGTAATACAAATGGCAGGCTGTCATTTCGCACAATTTGAAGAAAAAAAACGTTGGTTCGTATCGGGCCATTTACAGGTGGAAACGTGTAACACAATGGGAGGAATAGTAATAAGATTAACTAAATTAGTCTCTAAGTCCGGATCTACAATAGGTGTTTTAAGACTTAAGCCATAAGAAACTGACCAATTATAGTCGAATCCGAGGGGAATAATCGACTGTGACTCGCCCATTTCTTATGGCTTAAGGCTTAAAACCCGATTGTAGATCCGGGGTAATAGGCCGCTAGGATGATCGGTATAGCAAAAAGCAACGGCTTGTAAGTATTGGCCACATTGAAGAATAACTTTCTGATAGCGTTCAACTTGAATAAATCGAAACTATCAACATCTCGAAAGAATGAGTAATCACGAAATGGGAGAAAAGACACATACAAATCGGTATTTATAGTCGGACGATCTTATTTTAAGGTTGTCTTAAGTAATGTCTTAGGATGCTAATACGGCTCTGTGATTGGCTTATGACATCTTAAGACGGTCTTGAATATAAGAATTACCAATTATGAATCGGCCTTAGAGATCAGTCTTTCAATTGGAGATAGAAAGAAGAGAAAATTCACGGACAAAATATCAAAGAAATGGACAGAAAGGAGAGAGAGAGAGAGAGAAAGAGAGAGAGAGAGAATTTTACGCGCGAAAAAAAGAAAGACAGAACAAAAAACAAGGAGAACGAGCGAGAGAAAGAGAGCTAAGAGTTACGACACAGAAATCTCCAACTTGATCTGTAGATATACCAAAGATACCTGTGAGCCCAATGAAAAAAAAATGTATAGAACGTAACAAGATACGCGGTGGTTGCAATCTTCAGTAGTTTCTCCTTCAACAAGATCTTGTGGAAGTTTCGAACTCCGCGTTTTAAGGAGAAGACGTATTCTTCTCAAACACTCTATCACTTACAAGTAACGCTTCGCCTCGCTCGAGAGAAGTGCGGAGAGCGAGACGGTGCAACGGGATCGGATGCGAAGAGTGCAACCACCGGGCGACATAATATAATCAGGGTAAGAGTCCACCAACCCGGCAAGCAAAAAGATATATATATCCACAAGGCACATTTATTAAACATGATCGTTTTCACCGTCGATATAAAAATCGTCGATATACAGAGAGTGTATACAAGGAGATAAAAAAAAAAAAGAGAGATTATACCGCGTGTGTATGTGTGAGAGTGTGCGTATGCATGGATAAACACGTATATACCGCGTGCGTGTGTCCTATGTTTCTCGGGAGGAGAGGGTGGGATAGAGGGGAAAAAAAAGAAAGAGCTCTTGAGGAGGAAAATGTCGGCGAGGATGAAGACATGGAGATGATGAGCTTTTTTTAAGCTCGTATTGTCGCCTCGCTAGGACATCTTCACGCTCTCGGCGTACACTGCTAGTCATTGAAATTACAATGGAAAAAACGTATCATATTAAAATTTACAGAATGGACAGATCATATGGTAGAGTATGAAAATGTGCTACTTCTAAAAAATACCAAGCTGTAGTTCTAAACTCCATGTATCATAAATAATCTGCCGCGTATAAATATCACTTCTCATATTTTTCTTAATGTTGCAATTTTAATGACCAGCAGTATATACTTGTGTTAAAACACTCCGAGGTGCACCCCTATGGAAACGACGCAAAAGGCGACCGGTTGGCGCACCGTGTCCTCATCGCACTTCTCGTTGTCGCCGTATAATGGTCCACGTCATAACGTAAGAATGCCAGGTATAACATTACGCATAATACCTGCTGAATATAATTTGAGGCTAATTTCTAATTGGTAGCAAATTTCTGATTGGTCATCCAATTGGTCATCCACGGGAATGTTATACCTAGTATTCTTATATCATGGTTCACGTGATACATTCGCGTGATGAACGGTGATCAACGTCTGTCCATTTCGCGTCGTCTCGCCGTGTTTCACTATCTCTATGATATCAATTAATGCTACAACTGAGTCGGGAGATACAGTCTCGACGTTTTCAAGATGTCAGAGAAATGCATGTCCCCCAGGTTCCTTAATCCCAGGACGTTGATTCGGAACGGCAGATAATCGCGTTGCGTCTTCGCTGTCGGAGACTTTTATGTTTTCTGACGACTAACAATGTTTCTCATTCTATTTTAGCCCGCAAAATCATAGTTAACGTGCGTACCGCCGTTCTCACCAAGCGTCCCGAGATTAAACAAATGATCCTTTACCGTGTAAATGTGTCCGATATTCGTTCCTTCTTTCTTTTTCCTTTTTTTCAAACGGCCCTCAATTATCTTCAAGTAAATCATCTTCTCGAACAGTTACGTTATAAACAACAAAAACCGGATAGAGAATGTGTAATAACAGGTACTTTGCTGCAGTTGCTATGACAGAATGGATAGAGTTGCTGCGACAGCTGACAAGGGAGCATAATCAAGTGTCCTTCAATTTCAATAAGCTATAATTAAAGTTATAGAGTGACATAATGTATACGTTAAAGTGAGATAGTACAGGAAAAAAGCGTATACATGTATCTTACTCTCTAGTAGGATTTTAACGAAAGCACCCGTGATCAGATTCTGATATAGGATCTCTAGTTTAGACGCTTTATTCACTGCAAAAGAAAAAACTCATTTTTTTAAAGACAGAATTTCCTTATCTCTACAATAGAGTTTTAAGCCTTAAGCCATAAGAAATGGACGAACCATAGTCGATTATTCTCCTCGAATTCGACTGTAATAGGTTAATTTCTTACAACTTAAGGATTAAAACACCTATTGTAGATCCGGGGTTAACGAAAAAGCGATTATAAAAAAAAGTACGTCTCTCGTTTTTTTCTATATTTTAATAATTTAATATATCCGAAGCTTATTAAAATAAAAAAAGGAACACTTGATTGCGTTTCCATGTGAGATTATATCAATACACTCGCTATCGGTTCTGTACGGTAGTGCTATTGTTAGGGCTACAACAGACAAAATTCCGTAACAATAACCATAAGACGTAAATTATTGGCCTATAAGCCAATGAGCCAACTAGGATATTACTTTAGATCTACGTAATCTAACGAAAATAGAAATAGCAGTAAACTTATCCATAAGACGAATTTCAACTGGTGTTGAAATTTCTACGTAACGTTACGTGCAGAATTTATATATGTATATATAGATTTACGTAGATCTATATATGTATATATAGATCTACGTAATCAAATTACGTAGATTTAAAGCAATATCCTGATTAGTTCATAGGCTTAAGTTTACGTCTTACGGTTATTGTTACGGAATTTTGTCTACGGTAGCTCTTATAACAGAAAGTTACGCTGCACAAGGTAATTATAGGATCATGCGTTGAAAAAAGAAAGATTAACGGAAAATTTATAGCAAGGTGGCTCGGGAGAGATAGGAACGTGAGAGACTCTTTATTTTCTGTTGAATGAAACCCAACGCCCGGAAAGACAGTTGACCGGCTATAATATATGTAACCCTGTACGAGAGGGACTAAAAAGAAAAAAAAGAAAGAAAAAAGATCGGGTCCGTTACGCGATCGTTCGCGGAACGTAGGTATGCGGCCGGAGGAAAGTTACGTATCCCTCCACGAAATCACACGACATGCAAACCAAAATCGTTTCACATACCCGTTGGGCCGCGAAGCACTAATCATGACAGTCTCGTGTTTGTGTCTAGCTATAAATGTTCTCCAGTATTCTAACAAAACACACATATATATATATATATGTGTATATTAAAAAAACCGTGGCAAGAGGAAGAAATGAAATTACCATAAACACTTCGCGATCCGCGTGTCAGAATCAAGATCGGCTTTGTGAGAGAGGACCGGCTTCTCCTCTCTCCGCGGTTCATTGCAAATAGTGGAAGCCCGTTTAATTGGCATGGCAGTGAGGTATTTGACTGCCTTTACAAGAATAAGGTCGGCGAGCTGCATCCTTTCGATAAAGCCGATACTCGATTTCCTGGTACACCAATCTATCTATCCAATCTATGTGTCCGTCTCAGTGTATGATTTCACCAACTACGCTATCACAAAAGATATTAGGCCGTAAGCCAGCTTTGAAAGAGTAATTACGCCGACACCACAGTTAAATCACAAGCCGCGAGAGCGTATATAGAAACGGCAGCGTTTTTAATTCCGCTTTTTTTCTTCGTTTCCCCACGTTATCGAATACTCTCCAAAACCAAGAGTCTAATTATTAATGCACATATTCGGTATACTAAGATATTATTCGTCACACACGATGGAATTAGTGTTGGATTACATCCGTGTAAGATGGGCGTGATTATTAACGATATTGTACTAAATGCAGTGAACGCTATGCGATACGAGAGTGTGTATGTACGATTTTCCCCGAGTATAAAATAACAGAGCAAAACGGATTTTGTGTGTGCTTTGTTATAGGAATTTGTGATTCACATATATTAACATTCTAGTTTAAATCAAAGCTTGTATGTTACAATCCTTGAGAGAAAGATTGACAGAAAAGAGAGAAAGATAGATCAGCAACAAAGCCAATTAAGAGCGAACAAACTTGTTCTCAAATAATTAATGACGAAATTTTATTTACACATAGATTGTAACATACATGCGTGTAATAGATGCCACGTATAAAAGAATCTACTATACGTCCGAATTAGAACTTTAGAATATATAACATTGGATGGAATGTCCATTTTACACTTAGCTTAATAAAATATTTCTAGCAAAATATATAAATCATTTATATATATATATATATATAAACGAATATTTTTGATAATACCGACTTATAGGCTTCTATCGAGACAAAAACTTTTCATCGGGCATTTTTTCACAGATTTAGTGAAACATCATCATATATTAAAAAATACATAATCATCCAAAATTGTTTGAATATCATCATCATTGTAATACAAAATAGAAATGTGTCACTAGAAAGAAATCATATATATTACATTAACAGAACTTTACAATGATTATTTCCATGAAAATAAAAACTACAGACTTTAACGTGTGATACAAAGATAAGAAAACACCTGTAGCAAAAAATGCCTGAAGAATATCAATGTCCCGAATAATGTCTAGCATTCGGTAAAATCCAGGATTAACCTGCATATACACTATGATAATTCTGAAACTCTCCATATATATATATATATGTCCATAAATATATATAGGATGACTGGTAAGTTTTGACAAAGCGCTCGTATGTAGATAGCGGACTAAACCGAGTCGAAAAGTTCTCTAGCATCTTGCAATTTTCGTAATTTTTTTTGGTTACCCAATGAGTAGAATGTTTAAAATTAACGTATAAAAAAATTTTAAGATACCTTCGAGTTCTTTGAAAAACATCTAAGATATTTTATAAAGAACTCTGAAAGAAATCTTAAAGTTGTCTTATGCATCAATTTTACCCTTTTATTCGATAATCTTTAGAAATAAATATCTCGTTCATTATTGCGAAAATTGCAAAATGATAGAGAACTCTTCGAACTCAGTTTAGTCCGTTTTATCTGCATATGAGCGCTTTGACAAAACTTATGGAACACCCTGTAGATATATATATATATATATATATAAAAAAAAAAGAAGAGCGTTTTCTGTTTTCTACGCGATCTTCCACAGGTACTTCGTAAACACGCGATTACGAAAGAACATGTACGCACGCTAAATGGAATTTTATATACCACTATCAGTACAATTAACATGCTTACCAAAATTAAACTTGCTGCTTAAATGCATTAAGATAAGAAAAATAAACCGTCTTGTGAGTTAAGTACCGTCGAGTAAGTAACGCCCGAATTTGTACCAAGCATTCCTAAACGTTAGGTACACTTTATCAACTGGACAAACGTTGTAAATGACGTTCTGTCAGACTTGCATGGAATACGAAACGGAATGTCGTAGATATCGCGAATAATTACAACGCTTACTCGCTAAGAATGTACATAAATCCGTTAAAAGTAAGTCGTATTGTCGGTAACACGGCGATTCCCGCGTAGCATACGTACTTCCGCGCGAATAACAAATTCTTGCTCGTTTAGTGGAGAAATTGAGGCAATTGTTTCCGTTCTTCTCGCGTGGAATTCAAGGAAGAATCTATAAAACGAAGCTAGAGATCGATGCAGCAACGCATCAGATCTGGGGATAAAACTGAGCTGGATAAGGCAAGCCCGGAGCCGTGGTCGGAGCTGGCGCGTGAAACGCCGCTGCCGGTGTATGCCAAGTACGTTTTGCAGCAACGGTACCCGCTGTCGCGTCAGCGGGGAAAGCGGCGTCCCACGTTCGCTTCAGACCCATTATCGCGGCCGGGTTCAAGGTTGGCGCGGTGGGCATGATAGGCGTTAACAGCCCATGCGGCGCCGGTGCCCGCAGAATAGGAATACGGGAATGATGGGGAACGTTAAAGAGCAAAAATGGCGTAGCCGCTGCAGCCGCCGCGG